CTTTAGGTGGGAGCAGACCTGCGAGCTTGTGATTAATGTCAAGAACAATGTCGTTAAAAAGATCAATCGATAGAGATGCTCTCCTTTCGTAAAGAGAGGAGATGCCTGCCTCTTTGAGCGCGCTGTTGTAGCTTGCATGAGGAAAGATAATGCGCAAGGCGCGCTTCTGAATACGTTCCAGCTCTTCGGATAAATAGAACGGAAGGCTGGATTGAAATACTTGACATGCGTATTCTAGAACCGATCTTATGGTACTACAGTAAAACAAAACAATATCACTCGCACAGATACCAGCACGTTTGAGTTGACTCAGGAGGTACAATCTATCCATTGAGCTAACCGGGAGGCGGTTGATTTTAAATTAACATTAATATTTAAGACCCCGTTTTATTTTTATGTACAAGGAAAAGGTTTCTCAAATACAATTCAAGAATTAAGGTCCTGATTTAAGTTCTACGTCCCAACAGAACACCAGAGCCATTGTGGCTTAAATGTGCTTGCAAAGATCTGTCAAAGCAATCATCGCCTCGATGGGAATATATTACTAGCACGGTCCCCGATGGATCCTCCATCATCCATTATAGAATTCAACGGCTCCAGTGAATATTTTACGGGTAAAGTTATGACTTTCGCTTTCGCTTTCGGAATTTTCGACGGCTCCAGTGAATATTTTGCGGGTAAAGTTATGACTTTCGCTTTCGCTCTCGGAATTTTCGACGGCTCCAGTGAATATCTTACGGGTAAAGTTGTGACTTTCGCTTTCGCTTTCGGAATTTTCGTCAATTAGAATTTGTGGGCTGGACTCGTATAAGGAGCACTCGCTATTTTTTTTTTTTTTTTGGAAACTTTACATCCATAAACTTTACAGCGTGTGGGCGTGCTTTGAGACGAAGGAGGTCTGCGTCTTAGCAAGTCGGATATCCTTGCCGTGTGTCTGACACTCACTGAATGACATATTCCTTCACTTAAATCACCATACTTTAATGTTACCATCTTCATTAAAATCTATCGTAAAATAGGTTGTGGTTAGTCATCGTGGGAAAAAACACTTAAAAAATAAATGTAATCGTTTGTCTGTGTTTAATGTTAGTTTATTTAATGTTACACTTTCGAATATATTACAATTATTGTCGCAGAGAAATCAATTGAATGCTACATTCTAATCAGGAAGCACAGGGCGAAAACCGTAACCTGTGAGCCATGGAGTAAAAACTAAATGTACAGGCTTTTCCGTTGTGTCTACGGTCCTCCTTGTAACAGGAACTCTAACTGCCACCTTGAAAGTCCGGGCAATATTCAGCGTGCCTGAGAGCACTGCCCTCTGCATCTTTCGCAGTACGTCTGTGCTTCTGCCTCCCGCCAGCTCGTGGACATGAGAATTGTATGGTCAACGGTATCGAAAGCCTTTTTTAGGTCGAGAAAAACTACTGCATTTATACTGCCTTTATCAATGT